GGAGCACTGGTGGGGCATTGGGAGGGGATACTGGGAGAGGTGAGGAGCACTGGTGGGGCATTAGGAGGAGATGCTGGGAGTGGTGAGGAGCACTGGTGGGGCATTGGGAGGGGCATTATTGATGTACTGGGAGGCACTGGGAGGGAGTACTGGTGGAGGTGAGGGGCACTGGTGGGGTACTGGGAGGGGGAACTGGTGTAGGATGGGGAGGAGCAATGATGAGGTTTTAAGGGGGTACTGGGAGGGCAGAATTGAATAGGGTAGGGACTGGTACTGTTGGGGCATTGGGAGAGGCACAGTTGATGTACTGGGAGGCGCTGGGGCATGCTGGAAGGGGGATACTGGTGGAGGTGAGGGAAACTGGTGGGGTACTGGCAGGGGGAGCTGAGATAGTGTGGGAAGGGGCACTGATGGGGCACTAGAAAGGGATACTGGGAGAGGTGAGGGGCATGGGTGGGATAGTGGGGGGAAGGACTGGAATAGGGTGGGGACTGATTCTAGTGAGGCATTGGGAGAGAATACTGGGAGGAGGTGAGGAGCACTGGTGAGGTTCTGATGGGGGACTGGGATAGGGTGTGGAGGGTTGCAGGTAAGGCACTGGGAGGGGCATTGTTGATGCTCTGGTAGGGTCACTGGGAGGACTGGGCAGGTGGGTGCTGAGGGACATGGGAGGGTGAGGGGTGAGTGCTAGGAGTGATGACTGGGCTGTGGGGGGCACTGGGCAGGGACAGGGGTGAACACTGGCCCCTGGGAGAAGGCACTGGTTGGAGGTGCAGTGAGAGTGCAGGAGGTGGTGCTGAGGGATTGACTGGGATGGGGATTGGTGGAACTGGGGAAGGGAGGTGTGGTATGGGAATGAGCAGAGCAAGCTACTGGGTTAGTGGTGGGACTGGGCAGGGGCGAGGGCTGGGGCACTGAGAGGGACTGGGCAGGCACTGGAGGGGGTTGTTCTGGGTCTGGGAACTTTGGGGAGAGGAGCTGGGATTGGTGGGGCATGTTCCTGCTGCTGGTGAATACTGGGAGAGTTCTGGAGGATGGTGCTGAGTGGGGAAGGCTGATGGACAAGGAGTCTGAGGGGACCAGTGATACCTGGGGAAGGTGTGGGTGGGTGCTGCAGGCTGAGGCTGGAGCTGACTGGGGGTCTGGGGGCTCTGAGGAAATGAATGGAAATGAATGACCTGCCCCAGCACCAGCTGTCAGGGCTGCAGGTTTCTGAAGCTGCTGCTCTGCTCTCCCTCTGCCATCCATGTTCCATCATTCTGTTTGGTTTCCTGGTGCTCTGGTGGCCCTGGGCTAAACTTGGGCGATTAAGTGACTACATGAGAGGCTGTTCTGGAGAAATGGGTGCAGAGGGTTAGGGTTAGGGTCTAGAGTTAAACTGAGGATCACTTTAGAGACTTAGGAATGGATGGTTTCAATGCCAGGGAGCTTGGATCTGTACTGAGGCCTTAAACCTGCCTCCTCCCTGCTGACACCTGTGTGAAATCAGTGGTGGGGAGTGGGTCAGGCTGTTGTTGGAGCCATGTGTGGAGTTAAGCAGGTGTTGGTCAGACGCAGGATCCAGTTTTCTGTGTGGCTTTGGGCTGAGGAGGCTTTTCTTACTGGTTATGATGTTCCTTAGTCCTTTCACTTAATCATAGGTTTGGTTCAGTCTACATTTAAATGTCAAGCCAATGCTTACAGCATTGCCAGAGCTTTCTGGAGAAATTCCTCTCATCTCTTCTTGTTTGCTGGGGTTGGATCAGGAGCCTTTTGCTGTCAGCTTTGAACACCTCTTACCTGTTTCCAGCTTAGCAAGTGCTGGACAGAGAGCAATAGTAAGGAGGAGGCAATCTGATGTAGATTTTCTTCTAAAATGACAAAGCTGTTCGTGATGTGGTAATTTCTCTTGGCTCACCTCAGTTTAGGTTTGTGTACAAGATGCTGACATTTTCTGGAGTTACACAAACAGCAGTGTTTTAAATATCTGGGCTGTTTTGGTTTCATGTGCTGCGAACCATGCTGAGTTTGTGATGAGATAATACTCAGTGCTGCTAGCAAGCTGTCTCTGAACAATGTGCAAAGCAAGTTCTGACATACCTGAAGCAAAAATCTGTGTGCTCATGAGAAAAAGAGCTTTCTCCTGTGCTACACTTGGAGTAGTTTGCTTATTGACCTAAGCCAGCTCTCATTTACCTCTATCAAGGCAGGTTGTAAAGGCATGTGCTGTGCTTGGCCTTGTCTGATTGTTTCTAGGATTCTTCATGTTTCCAAGGATGTGATCTGAAGGGAGAAAACCAGCAAAATGTTTTGTTTTAGGGGTTGAAAGATGATGGGTGAAATTCAGTGTGGTTCTTTCCTCTGTGTGCATAGCTCTGTGCAACTAGAATCGTGTTTACAGCATTTTTGTTTTTTTCTCCTCAATTTTCCCTCTAATCTGCTGCTCTGGCCCCTGCTAAAGCTGTATTAGAGTAGCTGAGCTGAGATATGACCCCAGCTGACAAATCCTCATAGAATGCAAACAAAGAACATCGAGGCAACGTTCAGTGCTTTTTGCATGGCTCTATGCCAAATACTCTGAGAGAGAAAAACATTTTAAGTCATCTTTTAAGCTGTGCTGAAATCCCAAGGACTGTGTGAGCTGTAACATTGTAGCTGAGCACACACTCTTTAATTATAAAACAAGACCCACAGCAGCCTCTGCTTTCAGGGGACTGGGATATCTTTGCTGGAAAGGTTGCAGTGTGCTGGCTCATGTGGCTTTCCTAACTCAGACTCTGGTTTGGGAGGAGGGTAAACCTCCTTTGCAGGAGGAATGTCCCTAGGCATAGTTTGCTCTGAAGCTTGGCAGGAGCAGAAAGGGAAAGAAATCAAACCAAACCTGGTAACTTAGCCTAACTGGTTTGAGGTGGTAACCACACAGGCACAGGGCAGACAGGAGCTTCAGGGAACTGGGAAAAGCAACAGGTTGTTCCTCATCCAGTTGCTTGGAGCTGGAAAAACTGACAGCAGCATTGGGGTAGAAATTGGGGCATTACTCCTGAGCTGCTGCTGCTGAGAATTCACCTGCTGAGGTGTTAAAGTGATCCAGGGGACAAGGGAAAAAGCAATGGTAATGGTGTTGGGATTGGTTAAAGGATGAGGAAGGAAAGTGTTAAGGAACAGCAATCTGGTTGCACTGCTGGGCTGTGTCTTGGAGTTCAAAGCTGTGCTGGTCCTTTTGTTGCTGAGCCAGCAAGACCTGCAGGGTTTAGAGGCAAGACAAGGCAGCGTTTAGGGAACAGATGACTTGCTGCTTTGCTGGTAATGTTTAAGGTCATGGAAGTATATATAAGAAAAGGGGAATTGAGAGGGAAAAATAGAGAAAGGAGGGGAGAAATGGAAAAAGTTTATTTTTGAGATGGTTTTAGGGTCATAGTTCTTAGCACTGGTGCCAAGTATTTAATCAAAAGCAGTAAAACTGCCCACTCCTCCACTTGTTTTACAGCCAGTGCTTGAAAATCCTTTGAGTCATGTTTGTCACAGAGCTAGCAATTGAAAGAACAAAATGATGGATATCCACATATGTTTGGGCAAGGTCTGTACTCTAAGGCATTAATAATTTAGTTCTGTGGAGCAACAGAAATGCTGGTGAGACAGTGGCTCTGCTGAGCACTTGCTGGGCCAACAGCATTTCTCATTGCTGTCCACAGAAAAGCAGTTGGAGCAGCAAAATAATGAGCTTGTGTGTGTCTCTGAGGTGGGATGTCGGATCTTGGCAGAGAAAGATTCCAATTTCAGGCTTGAGAGAACTGAAAAGTAATGGCTTTTCAAAAAAAACCTGCTTTGCATCTCCTGGGAACAAAAGAAATGAAGGGGCCTGAGGGTGGGTGTTGCAAGTGGGGTTAATTGTGCCTTCCATCAAGATGCAGCACAGGGAAATGTCGTTAGGGGGAGATGACAGTTTCCTTTGTCTGAAATGTGGACTTCTCGCTGCCAGGCAAGATATTAAATGTGCTTTTTCTTGGAAAATGGGATTGTGTACCCAGGAAAGACAGCTGCAGGCTCTGCTGATTATAAGGAGTTAAGAAATGCCTTTTTCCTTCTGAGACTGAGAATCTGGAAAGCTGTGGGCCGAGCTCCACTGCATTCTCAGCCTATCTGCCTCAGGCTGGTGTGTTTTCACCAGCATTGTTCATCTGAGCCCTTTAAATCCCTGGGTCTGCCAAGTGAGAGCAGCAGCAGGTGCAGGATGAAGATTGGGAAACTTGTGGCTGTGGATGTGAAGCGTTTGCTGCTTCCCTCACGTTCTGCTCTCACCAACCATCCTTCCCCCAAGTTCCTGCCTCCCAGCCTGGGTGTTGCCACCCAACAGCATTTGGAGCTGAATTGTTCTTGTTTTATTCTTATTCTCAGGTGTTCTAAGGAACTGGAACCATGACGGACTCCAAATACTTCACGACCAATAAAAAAGGTTGGTGTTGAGCTGGTGCAGTGGATTGGAGGTGGTGGGTGGCTATTTTTACACAGCTTTTTTAACTGCATGCAGAAGAACTTGTGCTTTTCTGGTAGCTCTGTCCCTGTTTCTCTTCTTAATCATCCAGGGAAAAACTTTCAAAGTAGGTCACATGGTGACAAAAGACAAAACTGGTGCATTATTCAGTTTTGTGATGCACAAAATGACCCAAATTGCTGCATTTTTCAAGGATCAGAATGCAAAACCTTGGGATTTGAGTGCAGATCTGGCTGGGGACAAAGTTTTAGTTATGGGTTAAGAACTTCCAGACTGAGGATGTCCTGTTGGGCATCATAGGATTAAGTTGATTGAGAGACAGTTAATATTTTGGATATAAGAGTGTATCTCCACATCAAGTAAAACTTGATGAATTAAAGCATTTGCTATTGCTGTTTCCTGCAAAGCTGCAGTGTTTCATTTGACTTTCCCATACCTTTACTATAGGTGTGGTGGTCACCTCACCTTAGGACAAAGTGCTCCCCTCAAAAATGGGCCTGGAAAAGACCTTTGGAAACACTACTCATTCAGCTGTTTCAGAGCAGGATGTGTTCTGCTGAGGCTGTCCCAGACAGATTTGATTTTCTAACCTGCTCCTAAAGAAAACCCTGTTGCTAAGTGCAATTTAAGCCTAATGTTGCTCATCCTTCTCCTGTAGATATGGCAAATGGTTTGCATTAACTTCTCCTTTTCAAAATGGCTGAGTGCTCCTGATGAATGTTTGCCAGTGAAAAACCTACACTGTTGATCTATTTATGTTTCATTAGGCTCCAGAATGAGCTCATAAATTAAGCTGAAGCAGCTGACATCTTTCTGAGGAGCAGCTCTAAGTTGAGTCCTAAAGGCAGGATTTTTGGGGTGGCTGCAGGAGGCCAGGCTGCACTGTCTGGGCTATGGTGAGCTCATTGCTGCTGGCTCAGCTCTGCTCTGGGGCACAAGCTCTGTGTGAGTAATGTGAGTGTCTCTCCCTCAGGCAGGAGGTATGACAAGTGGTCTCTGCACTGTGTTCTGCAGAGCAGCAACTTCTCTTCTGGTTTTGAAGTACTTTTTGTCAGCCTCGTCAGGAATTAGAGCTGCTCATCTGACCAAGTGGCATTGGTGTGTAGGAATTGTAGATTAGGGACTAGAATGTGTTTTGTCAGAGATGTTTTGGTATTTTTACTATGTCCTCAGCCCATGGTTTCCTGTGGGAATACTGCTGGCTGTCCTTCCTGAGGCAGCTGGGAGTCTGTCAGCTGGGAGCATTATCCTGCTCATACCAGTTGCTCTGTCTGGAACAGGCCTAATAAACAGTTTTTTACACATGCTGCTTTATGTTACAAGCTTGCTTTGCCACTTTTGTGATCCAGCCTGAACTGACTTTCCACACAGGAATATCTGGAAGAATCAGTGTCAGGGAAAAGGCTGCTGTGGCAACCTTGGAATCAAGGCATCCTGGCTTGTATCAGCAATAGTGTGGCCAGCAGGACCAAGCCATGTTAACATGCAGCTCTTGTTAGTAGCAGCTCTGTCTTTCTAGTTTTATTCCACTGGACTAAATACGTGTGTACCACAGCATTTGGGCTCCAGTCCAGTTTTCTCAGGAAGCAGGAGATGATGAGCAAAAGTTAAGAAGTCTGGGCAAAATTCCTAGCTTAGTTTTTTCTTGCAGGCACGAATCTGGCATCTCCAAATCTCTTTTCATCCTGGTTATATAATAGTTGCCTCTGAGAAACAGACACTCCAGGGATGTGATTTGGTGCTCTAGAAGTGGGAGAGCTGTAACATGCAGCATGGTGGTTCTTGACAGCTTTTTCCTTAGCAAGGTGTGGCCCATATCAATCCCTTGAGTGTTGGAGCTTTGCTTCTCATTGAACCATATTCTCCACAAGGTCTGACAGCTTCCACATGCTGCTGCACCATTTTTGTGGGAATAACAGGCTTGGAAAGTAGAGTCACTCTTGAACTATCCATAAAGTAAGACCCTTTACTTCTCCTAAAAGGCTCAATCTGTTTTGTCTTCTGCCAGGAGAGATTTTTGAATTGAAGGCTGAACTCAATAATGAAAAGAAAGAGAAGAGGAAAGAAGCTGTAAAGAAGGTTATTGCAGCCATGACTGTGGGGAAGGATGTCAGGTAAAAGCAACTCTTGCACCTGGAGCAGCTCTGGTTGTCCTGGGGCTCAGTCAGGTGTAGTGACAGACATCTCCATGGCACAGCTTTGAGTTTGGCACCTCAGGGTTGCTGCCTGTGCTGTGGCTGAGTCACAAGTTTCTCAAGCTCCTTCCTGTCCCTGAGAGCAGAAGAAACAACTGTTTTTCATGCTGGTTTAGCTCACTGCCAATGGCCTTTTTGCTTTAAAAACCCATCCAGAATTAAACCATTTTTGTATGTCACTTTAAATGTTTTCTTCCTGCTTGCTACCCTGGGTTTTAGTGTTACAAAGGTAATTCCAAGTGTTTTTCTTAGCTTTACTTGTCATAGCATAAATTTAAGCTACATTTTTAAAATGGGTTTTTTTAAAATTGAACCTTTGCTTTATTGCAGCTGAAGGACACAGGTGTTTGCCTTCTGCAGCACTGTCCCCAATACTTTTTTTTTGTCTTTAAGACAACCAGAAAAACTCGCTTGAGTGAATGCTTTCTCCTTCCAGCTTCTCCTGTTACTGGAGCCTCCCAGAAAGGCACAGTAGTTCTGGATTCATGACAGTGTGGTCTGTTGCCACGGAAATCAATACCAGGCTATAAATTTAGCATCGTGACTTCATCATAGAGTAAAGGAACATATAAACTGGAAGGAAAAAAGCTAATCTTTTTTGCCAACAGCATTTACCCTTGACTTTTAGATCCCTACAGCATACCTGGGAGCTGCAGAGATCATTGTGTAGCTTCCTGTGTTCTTCCTCAGTCCTGTTTACAGATTGCTGCTTGACATTTGAGTGGAACTTGTCAGTGTTTAAGCTCCTGATCTCTGTAGAGTTTGCTATTCTGAAATTTGGCAGGTTTGGCAGGTTCCTTTTTTTCAAGGAACTCTTTTTCTTGTGACTTCATTTCCAGACTTGGCATGGTAGAATTTTGTTGTTCGGTGAACTTCCCACTTAAAACACGTTTAGGGAATTGCATTAGTTTTGACCTCTTCCAGAACTGACCTACGTTAAAGCCCTAAAAGAGATTAAATGATTATTATAAAAGCCATTGCAAACTGTTTTGGGAGGGAAGGTGACCTTTCATTAGACAGCAGAATGCTTAAAGTGGAACTCCAGTTTTTCTGGCTTCCTTGGTATTGTTACTTTTGCATACCATGCAGTCTGACTTTTTTTCTTGTGGATGGGCATGCTGATCTGGCCAAGACAGGCAAAGGCATCCTGGCTTGTATCAGCAATAGTGTGGCCAGCAGGACCAAGGCAGTGACCATCCCCCTGTACTAGGCACTGATGAGACACCTCAAGTCCTGGGGTCAGCCTTGGGCCCCTCACTGCAAGGACATTGAGGTGCTGGAGCATATCCAGAGAAGGGCAACAGAGCTGGGGAAGGGTCTGGAGCACAAATCTGATGAGGAGTAGCTGGAGAGGCTCAACCTGGAGAAAAGTAGGCTCAGGAGGCATCTTACTGCTCTCTACAACTCTCTGAAAAAGAAGTTATGGCAAGATAAGGGTCAGTCTCCTCTCCCAGGTAAGAAGTAATAGGATGAGAGTGAATGGCCTCAAGTTGTGCCAGAGGAGGTTTAGATTGGATTAGAACAGGTTGCTCAGGGCAGTAGTGGAGTCACCATTCCTGGAAGAGTTTTAGAAGTTGTGTAGATGTGGCACTGGATGGTTTAGTTTAGTGGTGGGCTCAGCAGTGCTGGGTTGAGGTTTGGACTTGATCTTAAAGGTCTTTTCTAAGCTAAACAATTCTGTGATTCTGTTTTTGTTAATTCTTGTGTTACCTCTTTCCTGATGTCGTGAACTGCATGCAGACTGACAACCTGGAGCTGAAGAAACTGGTCTACCTGTACCTGATGAACTATGCCAAAAGTCAGCCAGATATGGCCATCATGGCTGTCAACAGCTTTGTGAAGGTAACCTACTCCCACAGCTTATTAGAAAATGGCCCAGCACAGTGCTGTCAGCCCATCTTTGTCTGTTAGCCTTGCTGAGCTGTTTGTCTCTGCTTTAGTGCTCAGCCTCTGGCCTGGGCTCAGAGAGGAGTGAGCTGAGTCCTGTAGGTCTGAGTCCTTTCTCTCATTTGTTGCTGCTGGTTATTGCAGAGGAGGTGACTGAAGCCCTGTAAGTGGTTATGAGAGCCTTCTCCAGGGAAGCTGCTTCTATTGTTTTACCAACTTCTGGTATTGGGTGACAGATTTTATCTGTCTCATCTTCCAGCCTTTGTAGTAACTCTGATATATGGATATCTACTTCCTGTTTGAATGCTTCAGCTGTGCTCTGTGTGGAGAACCTTTATCTCTGGTGAAAATGAAAAATAACAGCCTGATTGCTGTATTGCCTTCAGTTCTGTTGTCAAGTTGTTTCTCCCTCTCTAGGAAATGTTATTGCAGTCCCATGTTATGCAAGGTAAAACCTGGTGCTTAGAAGTTTGAGACTCCAGAGTATTATAAAATTCTGAGACACTGGGGAATGGGATCAAGTTTCTTTTGTGGTTCTTGAGGCAGAAAGAGCTGAGAAGACCTAGGCTGAGAGCAGGGCTGCTCTTCTGGCCAGAGAAGATGTCCCTGTCTTCCTCTCTGGAAAGCATATTGTCTGTCTTTAGAGTATAATTCTCTTAGAATGGACTAACAAATAAAATTGTACTTTCCACCTTCATGCTTTTCCCTGGAAAGCAATGTGTGGTGTCCCTTTTGGCGAGTTCAGGGCAAGTGTTAGTGAAGAGCAAGTGTCACCAGTCTGCAGTCACTCAGTGCTTCACAGGCAGTTCACAGTTCAGGGTGTGGAATGTACTAGTAAGATGTCACTTCTCTTGTATCTTTTAGAAGTGCTGCATTCAGGTGTTTTTTTTTCATCTGTAGGAAATGTAAACAGTGAAAGGTAAATTTACCTTATGCTTTTGTATGTCATTGTGCAGCTTTCCATTCATAGGCTGATTTTGGAGGAGCTCAGAGACATAGACAGATTGGATGTAAGATATATTACTTAGTCTTGAAGTATGAAGTGTTATATTTCTGTCTGCTTTTTGTTTTTCCTCTTCAGAAAAGCACCTCTAGACAAGCCTTTGCTTAGTGCCTCATATGTTAGAAGCTTAAGGAATGCTTGTGTTTGGCCTTTCAGAAATAAGCCTTGAAGGCTGTTGCATTGTGTTTAATTGTTGACTTCTCCCATTATCTCTTGCTCCTTTAAACCAGTAAGGCTGGAAATCAGTGTACTGCTTTGAGAGTTGCCTGTGGTTAGATTTTGGGTAGTGAGAGCTGCCTCTCTAGCTTAGCTGTAGTTGCTAGATCATGTTGAAAGAAGCTTTGCCTGGGAGAGCCAAGAGAGCTCAGATCACAATTTTACAAGGTATCACAGCCTGAAAACATCTTGAGATAGTGTAAAATGTTTCTGTGAACCATTAAGTGCCACTTTGTATCCCTGATCTGAACTAATTGCCTGGGTTTTATTGTGTTGGAACAGAGAGAACTTTCGAAGTGAGAACAGCCTTATTGTGGCTGCAGGGAAGGCATCAGTGGCTGTGGGTGTGTTTACTGAATTCTCTGTCCTGTTGCAGGACTGTGAGGACCCAAACCCTCTGATCCGTGCCCTGGCTGTGCGGACGATGGGATGCATCAGGGTGGATAAAATCACAGAGTACCTGTGTGAGCCTCTGCGCAAGTGTCTGAAGGACGAAGACCCTTACGTGCGCAAGACCGCGGCTGTCTGCGTGGCAAAGCTGCACGACATCAACGCCCAGATGGTGGAGGACCAAGGATTCCTGGATTCTCTCCGTGACCTGATTGCAGACTCCAATCCCATGGTAATGTATATGCCCTTCCAACACGTTGCTTGAGCTTGTCATGGGCAGATAATGAGAAACATGAAGGCTTTTGAGTTGCAAGTGGTGTGCTGTGATGTGTGTTGGTTAGGGAACACTTGTTGCCTCAGAAGACAGAAAATACATTCTGCTGTTAGTTTGTGCTTTTGCCTGTTTTGTCTGAGTGCTGCAGCAAAGTAACTTCCTGATCAGGTGAGTCAGAAGAGCAAGAAACATTGGGTGCTGCTCCTTCAGTGACAGCTTGTAGCTATTGCTTTCCTGCAGGCTTTGGCTTTTCTTGGAATAAGAGATTGGATGAATTCATTCACTAACGCAGATAAATCCACTGGCTTGTAATGAGTGGAGAAAATCAATGCTAATGTTTTTAATAAAGTTAAATGAGTTGTTGGAGCTGAGGTGGAGATCATGACCAAGAATTTCACAGGAGTAAATTACCTACTAAATCAGCATTTAATCATAGATGATGAAGGGTCTATTTCCAAGCCAGGTGTCTTCCACTACTATTTTGTACCTAAAAGGTGGTGGAAAATGGATTGAAGTGCCTTACTGCATAATGCTTTCACTCGATACTGTTTCCTGTTATATATTGGAATCCAGTTAACATACCAGTATCATCCTAACTCCTAGCAGGGAAGAAAATTTCTGCAGCTCAGTCTAACTCAGAGTTTAAAGATGTGTCTACTACTTTTTTAGCTCCTATAGAACACAAATCAGATTTGACTCTGCTTAAAGACATAATTTCACATTAGGGCAGGTCTTACAGCTCTCTCTGGTGCATGAATCAAACCATATAAAGCAAATTGCTGTCCTGTTGTAGCTGTATTTGGGCAGGTTAGATAAATCAGGTGCAGGTGGTAAGGTGCCATCCCCTCTTGTGAAGTGAATCAGGCTGCTGATTGCTTTTCCTATGGCTTTCTAAAGAGAGTAAAACTAAAGGCTTCTGACTCTGTCACCACTCTGAGCAGTGATATCTCTCAGGAGATACAGGCACTATTGCCTCTGATATGTGGCTCTTTTACAAGCTGTTCTTTTTATCTGCCTCCCTGATGTTTTTTCTTATGCCAGGTTTCTGTATGAATATTGATGACTGCTTGAAGATGCTCTCTCTTCTAGGCAACTTCGAGGCATACAGAGCAACATCTGCTGTTTTAGTTCAGTGTGGAGGGTGTGCCTTGCAGCCTCTGAAAGTGCTTGCTTGGATTGCTTTAGTTCCACTTAATTGCTGGCCCTGGCATTCACTAGGTCACAGGCAGCAATGGAGTTGTGGACAGGGATAGAACCTCCTCTTCTAGCCTTGGTTCCAACTTAATTTTCTTCTCCTGATGACATGGGTATGAGTTGAAGAGCTCAGGCTGAAAAGATGTGGTACTTCAGAGAAATTAAGAAGGTTTTGCTTGCCCTTTCTCCTTGTTGGTCCCAGTGGAACTCTGGTTTGGTAAAGGAACCACTGGCTGATAGGAGAGCACCAATATCTATTTTAAAAGTGCATCACCTTAATACTGACTTTAAATGAATGGAGAGAAGAGGAAAAATACCAAAGGGCAGTGTTTGCTCCATGTGCTAAATAAACCTCTAGAAGTAGCACAGGGTTTCCTAATAAAACATCAGCACAGCTAATGAGCTCCTTGGTGGTAGTGAGGATGGGCTGGGACAGCAGAACCTTTGCAGCTGCTGGAGTCGATTGCAGCTCTGCAGCTACTGAAGCTGTGCAGGATCATAGTACCTGCCCCATGTTGTACTCACTGCTCTTCCCAAAGTTGAGGATTCACTGCAGAAGAAGTCTGGAGGAGTGATAGTGATGAGGAAGAGAGGCTTCTGGTGTGTTTTCAGATCTGCAGGCTTTGAGAGGATTGTGTAGCTGGTGTTCTGGGTACTGATTTTCCAGGTTTTACTGTAGATGAGGCATTATATTTTTGCTTTTTAAGGGTGCATTGGGAGAGATTTTAGCTAAGGTTTGAAGCTTTTATAGCTGCTGATTTAATACAATATTTAACCTGGTTACAATTTTAGTAGAAAAAGACATTCCTTCTGGTTAAGTTTATTCCTTTGGTTGCCTTTGAAATTCATGCTTTTGTGGCACAGTGGTTCCCTCAAAAGTACAGGAACTATCCACCCCTAATTAAGGTTCACCTTCCTAATCAAACCATTCACCTCCTTGCTTCTCCATGTGAAATTCCAGTGGTGTTCCTGAGGACCAGGAGTTGAGTTTGCCAGATAAGTTATATATGTGTGCAAGTTGATACTTATTAAGGTATTTTTCCATGATGAAATGGGATGTAGCCCTGCCTGGAAGCTCTTTTTAAGTAAAATGCATGTATTAGCATCAGCCATCAAAAGAAGGATTGCTGGAAAGAATGGTCCAGATGGATCTGTGGCCTTATTCCTCTGTAAATGGTGCATCTCAATCATTGCAACCTGTTATCTAAGCTCATTCATATTCATGTTACAAATGTTTCTCCTTTTTTGATTGCTGGTGGAAATGGGCAACATTAGACACTTAATGAAGCAGAATTTTTTAGATGGGAAATCCACACTTGTTCTCTCTTCTGAGAAATGAGGATTTTGAGCAGGAGCTAAAAAATATCAGTTAAAAAGTAGTCTTCAAGAAGGGTTTTATTATGGCTCTGTAATTGGTTGCCTTTAGCACATGAGCAAGCACTAAGCATTGTAGCTGGGTGCTGGGTAGAGTAACATCTCCATCTGTGGCTTGCTAATTGCCTCATAATTGTGCAGAGATCAGGGTGCATATTTCTATCTGCTCAGATCACCCTCATCATAACAATATGTGGCTAAGTTGGAGGTGACCTTGTCAGAAATGTTTTAGGTTTGGTTTTTGGTTTTGTTTTGTTTTTTCCATGACTATGTTAATAAACTAACAGAGATTGGGGATGTTCAGGGCATTGAAGTTCTGTTGAGGTGCTGTAGGTGCACAGCCAAGGTGCTTTCCCTCTTTATCTGAGCTTTTTGTTGTCAGGATCTGCCCTCAGTTCACACAGTGATCTTTTGGGCAGGTGAAGTGTTGCATAATTCCATGTGAGCTGTCTGAGGATCAAGGACTGATACCTGAGTCTGGTAGTTCACTAGCTATTTCTGCAAAATCTCTCTAGTAGCTTTGCAGTTTCTCCTGGATGAATTAATTCAAACTACTAATTGCATCTATATTGATATGCAGATGTATGGCAAGGTACCAAATGGGCTGGTGGCTTGCTGCATGTCAGCAGAGTTATGGGAGATGTCTTGCCTTGTGCAGGCAATGGGCTAATCACCACTACAGGGCACAGTTCAGTTACACTGCAGAAGTTTGATTGTGGAAGGAACCTTTAATCTCTTTTTACAGACGGGTCTAAAGTGCTTGTGGCTGCCCTTTGTCACTTGGGTTCCTCCTGAAGAGGATCTCCTTCCACAGAGGGAGCCCTCATTTCTTCCCAGAGCTGTCTTAAGGCAAACCCTTCTTTTTTGCCCTGTGCATTTCCTTACAGGAAGCTCAGCAGAAGGTCTGGCTGAATATAAAGCTGGGGCCTGGCTGCTTTGGGCTGTCTGTGCTGCTGGGCTTGCTCAGTCCTCAGTGCCTTTCTTGCTGGTAACTGATTGCAACTCAGTAGCTTGTCCTTCCATAATCCTCATGTTCTAACAAAGTACAGTTCCCAAATGGCATCCTAGGGGCTTTGTGTACTCGAGATTACTACAGAATACTGTTCACACCCGGCAGCAGTAGTAGATAATAGAGAAGTGAGAGAGGTAGGTTTGTTACACACCTCATGATGGCTTGAGGCTCTCTGAAGTCTTGGACAAACCTTTGTTTGTTTGGGTTTTTTTGGTTTTTTTCCCTGGTATTGTCTTGTGACGTTTGTGAACCAGAGCCAATGACTGCTCATACTTGGAGCATGGGAAGTGCTGAGCCCAGGTGAGGGAGAGCAGACCACGAGATGGCAGCAGCTGAAAGCAGAACCAAACTGAATATCCTTAGACACCTTATTTTGTAACTAGTTCCCTCCTGGGTTTTATCCCTATACTTGGTTTCCTTTAAGAATGTAAATATTAGCAGAAAAACAGAAGAGAAAATCCATCATAAGCTGCACTGGTCTTTTAATATTTGAATGGAGCAACCTTTTTCTCCAAATATTTTCTATCCTTGACCTTCTAAGGTAACTTTTAACTCATGGCATAGTTTTCTTGTCAATTTATCTGTGATCCACATGGCTTAAGTTAGACTGATGTCGCCTTCTCACTGTTATTTTCTAGGTGCTGTTCAGTTTTTAATTCCTTCCTGTAGCATTTCTTCTTCCCCGTACTCTGCTTTGTCACTGTGATGTGCTGGATCAAAGCTTTCTCATGTGTGGCTCTTCTGCTCCTGTGTTTTCCTGAGCTGTATAGACATAGCACTTATGTGCTGTCCAATAACATGTTGTGTTTTACACCATCTACACATCACAGTTTATTGGGGAAAAAAAACCTGTTGGGAATCAACACAGAATAAACTGAGATCACATAAGCTGATTAGTAAGTGCACCAAGTGTGTGGAGATAATTAAACTCTTGTTGTGCCTGGGGTTTGTTTTGCCTTTAGCACTAACCTCACTAAGAAGGGAATCTATTGAGATCTGACAACTGGAAGTGGTGAGATCCACCTTGATCTAATCTGAATTCCCTCTGGCAGTGTTGAGTTTCCACAATTGACAGATGAGACTAAAAACTTGTTGATAGAAATCATAGTGCTCTCTTGTCTGTCCTGTGCCTGCAAGCTGTGTAAGTTCCTTCTCTGCCAGCCAGAACTTGTGTGTGTGGGCTTCCTGCATGGCCTTATGGAAGAAGAAGATCTTCCTTTTGTTCTTTTTCCTACTAGCTGGCAAGCACTGTCTTTCTGAGATGATGTCCTGAGGAATAAGCCTGTTTAGAAACAGAAGCAGCTTTTGTCTCCTGGGCTGTTCTCCCATGAGTACTCTGCAGGAATTTTATCCTTCTCTGTGTAATAAAGCTGAGAAA